CATAGGTCGATGCTCAACCACTGAGCCACACCAGCTGGGCTGGAATTTAAACTCTTAATAGTGGACATAAGGTGTCGTAACTGATGTTTTGTTACTGGTTTTGTCTATTGGAGTCTCTGGAAAAAGGGAACCAACCTCCAGATAAAGTCCACTTTGGGAATTTTAGAAAATAGTTTTTATTTTGCTAATGAGCTTTTGTAAAATCAGATTTCTTACTCTTAGAAGCTGATGATTTTCTGGCCTGATGAGTATATTTTCGCATGGGTCAATTTGGACCCCAAGACTGACAAGGTGAAAAGGACTCAGCCCTTGGACTTGGAACACACGTGTCTGGCTATACAATGTCTCAGCTTTGCTGCTGCTCAGGAAGAGCTGCTGGCATTTGGGGTCTACTGACTTCACAATGATCTGGACCTGACTCCATGCTGAAACCTGATACAGCCCGCTATGGGCTTTATCAGTATCAGCAGCTATGAAAACATGTGGATGTTGGCTGGCTCAGCCAAGTCACTTGCAAATGCCCTAAGGCAAGCATGTCAAACTCATGGCCCCTGGACTGCATGAGGCCCACAATGAATATTTTTGCAGCCCAGCCAATATAATGGTACTAGCGGCCTGGTGCATGAATTCGTGTATGGGTGGGGTCCCTTGTCCTGGTCAGCAAACGAGGCCTATCAAGGGCCCAGCCAGCTGGTGGGAGGGATCTCAGGAGGTTGGCCAGCGGAACCACCCTCCCTCATCAGGGCCTATGGGGGGCTGGCAGGCCAGAGGGAGGGGCCGTAGCTGAACAGAGGAAGGGGCTGTGAGTGGGTGGCTGCCAGCCCAGCCCTTGATCAGGGTGTGGGGGGCGATTGGGAGCAGGGCCTGCTGGGGGGAGGGGCCGCGGGTGGTTGGGGGCGCCAATCGGGGCCTGGATCAGGATAGTTGGACGCTGCAGTGCCCATCATAGCGACTGGTCATTCCAGTCTTTCCACTGTTCGGGTCACTGGGCTTTTATATATATAGATGTAAGAAATGTTTTAATGAAAATTTGGTAACTTAATTTTTACAATATCCTGTTATACATAATTATTAATAACAAACTACAACATCCGCTAGTGACTGATTACTAGAATCATGTTGCAGTAACTTCCCTAATGCACTTTGCCTGGTAAGCGCAGGCGTACCATTTCTCTCACTAATACTAGCAGCGAATATTTTAGCATCTGATGGCCACATCATTAGTCTTGTACTGACTTGTTTGGTGTGCACAACAGGAAATATTTCACTTTTGGAGAACAAGAAAAATAGGTTTATTTTCATTACACTTATTAATTTGTGCAATTATTCAGTGTCTGATAAGTTAATGTTCAAGAAAAGATATTAATTTTCATTAAAATGTTCTATTATTTTATGTTAACAATGACTCATTCATTTTAGCCCTTTGTATTCAGCATGTCTCTATCAAAATAAACCTACTTTTCTATGAAAATTGAAGCTTTTGTTGTTGTGGGGTTTTTTTTGCGGTTCCTATAAACTTAAACCTTGTTTATCTGGCCCATGTTAACCTTTGAGTCTGACATGCTTGCCCTAGGGTAAGAGCTAGTTCTCAAATAGAACCCTGTGAAGTGAAGCTGGAGTTGGACGCTATAGTTCTGATGCAGAGCCTGATTGCAGTCCTAACTGGTGATTCCTCTGAAATCTGCAAGTTGGGAGAATGTACCCCCTCCACCCACCTCTGACTGAGGAGCTCTGGAACCCCTCTGGGGTGGTGTGATGTCTCATGGCTGTTGATGTGAGCCTTTCAGATTAGTTGCAGTTTGCAACAATGATTCCACTTCCCTCACTTTTCTCCTGCTGCACACACCTTAGTAAGGCAGTTGGATCACTCAAGGCAGCTGTTGCCTGAAAGGGATTGATCGTTTCCAGGCTGCTCACTGGATAAATGATCTGGACAAGAGGCATGGGAGAGGAGGGGTTATGTAAATCCATTTTTTATAAAATATCAAAAGACCAGGATCTTGCTCTGACCAGTTCTCCAGAATATGATGTCTTTCTGGTTAAGTTGGATAAAAATGTTATTCTGTGAAAATGTTTTTGTCCATCTGGCACACATCCCTTCCAGATGAAAGGTCTGGGCAAAAAATGAAATGATTAGGAAAAATTGTAAAGATAGTATTAGTGAATTGGACACACTGGCTTTGTAACAACATCAACAGTAACAAACCCTGGCATCCGGGAAATCACAGGGGCAGGGGCAGAACAATAATTATCTTTGTTTTCATATCTGTTCCTGGAAGCTTTCTCCTCATTCTTTTTTAATATATTTTTTATTGATTTTAGAGAGAGGAAGGAAGAGGGAGAGAGGGAGAGAGAAATAGAAACATCAATGATGAGAGAGAAACATTGATCAGCTGCCTCCTGCTTGCTCCCTACTGGGGATCGAGCAGGAAACCTGGGCATGTGCTCTTGACCAAAATCGAACCCGAGACCCTTCACTCCACTGAGCCAAACCAGCCAGGGCTTTTCTCCTCTTTCTGAAGAAAAACACTTGTGTTGCCATTTCAAGCTTCTGTGAGCACTCAGATTCAGAAGGACCACGGAGCCCAGATGGCATGTGACCGTGTGACTATGAAGCAGCAGGGGTGGGCCAGCTCTGCACAGTCCCGCAGAACACCTCCACATGCCGTGCACACTTAGCAGGTGATGGACTTGAGTTGCAGACAGAGCTGTTTGGAACTGACTGCCTCAGGCGGTACTTCTGAAAGCAAGGACTTAACTTCAAACCCCGGGCCAGGAGGAACCACGGTGGAAATCCACATGGGAGGTCCTGGTATCATGTCCTGCTTACTCAATGCACTTCCTGCTTGGGGCATAAGTGAGATCAATACTGCAGGTTGGACTCAGCCTGCTGTGTGGGGTCCCACTGATAATAATTCTGTCAAGACACCTAGGCCAAGGGCCAAGGGAGTAGATTGCGCAGACAAGTTAACAGAGCAAAACTGTGACTGCGATCCTTAGCGTGAATGGCCCACTTGCAAGGTTGGCCCTTGGCTGACTTCTGGGAACTTCAAGTTGGAGAGTGTTCCCACACTTCCCCAATTCATTAGAGTCAGTCACTGTGCCTAGATTGTGCAAACCATGGGACTTATGCTGAACACCTGTTTTATCTGTGTGTTTGAAATTTTTGTACATGCTAGGTAGAGAGTGCCTATATGACTAGCCCTCAGTAAAAACCCTAAACTATAAATCTCAAAGGGCTTCCCTAGGCAAGAATATCACACACATGCTGCTGAGTTTTTGCTGCTGGGAAGGGTGCGCTCTGTGTGACTCCTCATGGGAGAGGGAGAGCATGTGGAGTCCTCCAGACCCCACCTTGGTGTCCAGCCATATATCCTTACACATCTCTTTTGTAATGTTTTTATTGATTTTTAGAGAGAGAGGAAGAGGGGAAGGGGGAGAGAGAAACATCGATGAGAGAGAAACATGGATTGGCTGCTTTCTGCACAACCTCCTCCTGGGGATCGAGCCTGCAAACCGGGCATGTGCCCTGACCAGGAATCGAACCTGTGACCCCTTGGTGCATGAGACAATGCTCAACCAATTGAGCCATCCAACCAGGGCTATTCTTACACATTTTTGTAATAGTAAGCAATGAAAATCTCAGTTATTTTCTTATCACTTTATAGATGTAGGTTATTTTGAAATTTCAATTATATTGATCACTGCTTTGACATTAAGGTAGATCTGCCACCAGAGTCTGGTATTTAATGTGTTGACAAGGAAGCACATATGCCACATTTTAAAATATCTTTAAAATTTAACATTTTTAGTATGTTTTGACATATTACCTTTGTATTCCCAAGTATTTTATTTGCTGAATTATTCTGGGAGCCTGATTCTAAGATGTCCATAGGATTCACCAGACTACACAAAAGAAAGTTGAAGACTCCTACCAATGGGTCTAGATGTAGTAATCATTAATGGGCAATTTATTACCTATAAGTGGATAAACATTTAGTGCCATATATTTTATTCAGAGACAAGGAAGAACTAGTTCTACAGATGGCACTTAAAGGGGCACCAGGAGCCAACAATAAAATCACTTTATGATTTTGTGCCAAGCTTGTTCAATGTGAAAGTTACATATATAATGTATCTAAAAGGTGAGCTATAATTGGGGGTTTATATGAGGTTGAGCTTTCTGGAATTATAGAATGTGCATTTCTTGTTGGACTTTATTTACTGTGTACAGAAAAATCCCAAACTAAAACTGAAAAACTCCTACTTCACTTTCAGGTGCCCCTATGATTACAGGCGGCCACTTGACTGTACTTGGTACAAAGATAGTCTTCCATACAGCAGATGGAAGTGGAAATGAAGCCAGACATAAGGCTATCCTCACTGACATTGGCATGTCCTAATATTAAATGCCATAATGTATAAAGATAACTTAATTTTTGTTTATGTTAGCTAGGTTTTAAGACATTTTTGATGTTTCTAAATGTATCTTTATTGTTGATAGTGTTACATGTATCTCCCATTTCCCTTTCCCCCCTCCTCCCAGTCCCTACCCACCCACCCTCAGGTCTTCACCACCCTATTGCCCATGACCATGGGCTATGCAAAGTATATAAGTTCTTTGGTTTATCTCTTCTCATCCCACCAACCCACATCGAGGTAAGTCTTCAATTCTGATGAAACCTTTTGCAATCAAGTTAATAGTTAACACCTTAACATTTATTAAGACTTAATAGTACAAATTTGATTTTAGCAGGGTCAATGGAGAGTCACTAAACATGTGAAAATAGCTTATTAGTGTAGTACTCTGCTCTTAAAGATGTACAGAGATATGTTACCTGTTGCAAATATTTTCCTTCACAATGAACTGGTATGATACAGAGGATTTTCTACTTGTCTGTGACTAAAGTTTTTCTTTAATTGAATACAAAAATACTATGCATGGCATGTAAAAATAATAAGAAAGTTTATTGAATGCCATTTTACACTCTTTTGCCCACTACTCCTTATCGCTTCATGGTGAACTGCACTTGTGTAGATGCCTTTATAAAGTCGCACAGAGCATTTCCAGCATCATATCATCCATGCTGACAGCGCCGATGATGGACCTGAAGAACAGTTCAGTAACAGCATTGGCACTGATGAATCTAAGCTGGAAAAGGACGCTATTCAGTTCAGCGACTCTGACATGGTACGCTCTGTACATCATCCTGGTGTGTTCGCCAAGGATCTGCTGAGTTCCCCACTGAAGTCCCTGAATGTACTTCACACACCGCAGGCCTGGCAGGTCTGGAAGAGAGAATGGGAGAAAAATTTCTTTGTTATTAACAGCTCACCTACAGACTCCTTTGTTTCAATATATCCATTTCTGCCCCTCCCCAAACTAAACAAGAGCTCAGCTTCCTGGTATAAAGGGCTTTCTAGAGCAAGAATAAATGCCAAGCCAGTTCTAAGTTTTCAAAAACAATGCTTTCAAGACTGAAGCATCATAGAATTATTCTTCTTTATTATCCACTATGTTTGTATCCTCACACTTAAAAACTGCTGGCCCTGAGCTAACAAACACACAATTCATTCACTATGACAGTAGAATATAGTTTAATGCATCATTGCTCCAGTTCACTATCTGTGCAAATATGAAGAAAGTAAAAATATTTCAGGAAGTGAGCACTTTGCCATTTACCTGTGGGAAACAGGCCATTGTATAATGACAAGAAGTTTTGCTAGATGAAAAATATTTTATCATCCTCCCTGGAATTTTCCACCATTATAATAACTATCCAGCTGATGGTGGTAAACTTCACAGCCACAAACGATGACTCACAGTCTCATTTTAATTATTTGCCTGCAGGCTGATTTTAGTCTTGAGTCCTATAATAACTTAAGAGATAACACTGACCACTTAGCTCATTGTACCATAATTTCTGTATTGGGGAAGGTTAAAAAAAAAAAGCAATTCTAAGGAGCATTCCAAAAGGCTCTTTTAAAATATATATATTACTTTATGGTAAGAAGTCTTTGTGAGCATTGTTTTACAGCCATTAAAAGGTTAAAAAGTCAACATGAAGACATCATGGATTGCAACATGGTTCAAAAGTAACTTTTCAAATAGAGAACAGTGACCTTCTTTCAGTCCAATGTGACATCCAAGTAAAACTGAGTGAAATATAATACAGGAAAGATGAAGTGCTTTTTAATTTAAGAAGGTGGTAAGAAGAGGCTGCTTTTGAAAGTCTGTTGATTCTCCATTATATTAATATTACCTTGAAGTCTTTAACTTGTATTTAAGTAATTACCGATTTACCGACCTTTTTAAATGATGTCAATAATGATTGCAATCATTTTCCTTCTCTTTTTCTACAAAATCCAACAGAAAGTATTTTTCCCTTTTTTATTGACTGTATTGAGCAGAAAGGATTTTAAGAGCACCATGCTAATCATCACAGAGTAGCAGAACCAGTGTCCTTTAAAAACTAATAATGGCAATAGATGAGTCATGCCTATTATAGGCAAATACCAAATTTGATCAATAAAATTAGAACAAAAGCAGCATCTCTGATCCATATTCCAATTCTGATGATCCCAGCCCACATATTAACATCCCCTCTTACCTACAGCTCATTATCCAGGCTCGAGACCCAACTTTACTGGGTCTGAATTCCACTGGTTAGAGTAAAAAGAGGTTTGCATATGAAACTCCACAGAAATTCTGAAGCCCCTCCAGGACTAGATTTATGGATCATTAAAACTTTATCTACGCCGAAACCGGTTTGGCTCAGTGGATAGAGAATCGGCCTGCGGACTGAAGGGTCCCGGGTTCGATTCTGGTCAAGGGCATGTACCTGGGTTGCGGGCATATCCCCAGTGGGAGATGTGCAGGAGGCAGCTGATCGATGTTTCACTCTCATCGATGTTTCTAACTCTCTATCTCTCTCCCTTCCTCTCTGTAAAAAATCAATAAGATATATTAAAACAAAACAAAAACTTTATCTTGAAAATTTCACATCACTTTCCTCAGCTTTCATGCCACACTTATCCATTTCCACCTCACCCCTCCCCACAGTGTGGCTCCCTCCAGCCCCCGCCAAAAAAAATTGCCTTTAACATAAATTCAGGGAGGAAAACAGGTGTTTAGTTAAACTCCACAGTTAAAAAAAAAATAAACAAAAAGATCAGAGGATAAAAAAGGATAAACAGCAAAGAAAGGACACAAAACACATTTAACAGGCTTTTCTTCTCTCTCCAATACAGGTGCATTTGTGTTTGAAACACAAATAGCTTAGCTTAGCTGGCTAAACTCATATTGGGAAGATTCCAAGCAGCAGAGTAAGAATAAGGGAGGAGAGAGAGGGAGGTGGGGGAGGGAGAGAGAGACGGGCTAACAGGGTGGAGGAAAAGAGGGAAACTAGTGAAATGTAAACTTCTGGAAACTGAGCCCCTATCTTACCTTTGTATTCCAACAGAACAAAGCACATGGTAGATGTTTAATAACAGAGGCTGAAGGAGGGAGAAAACTATTTCCCAATGATCTTAAGAACCACCAGGGACACTTGTGATGAATGCAGAGTTGCAGACTGGACCAGAGCTACTGAATCAGAATCCTAGGGGAAAGGCCTAAGAAGATTTTAAACAAGCCCCGTCCCCCTCCCCACCCAAGTGTTTCTAATGCACTGGCAAGTTTGGAAAACAGTTATATAAGCAAAAGGTGACCTATAATGATCGCTGGGATGAGCTGAGGTCTTTAGGTCTGAAATGTGAGTTCTAAATGAATCATTTCCCCACCAAATAGTGCTCTACACCCCTTCAAAAATGCTAGGCACACCCTAGCTGCTTTGGCTCAGTGGATAGAGCCTTGGCCTGCAGACTGAAGGGTCCCTGGTTCAATTCCAGTCAAGGGCACGTGCCCAGGTTGCCGGCTGGATCCCCAGTGGGGGGCGTCTCGGAGGCAGTCAATGCAGGATTCTCTCTCATCATTGATGTTCCTATCTCTCTCTCTCCCTCTTCCTCTCTGAAATCAATAAAAGTATATTTTAAAACATTATAAAAAAGAAATATCGCTATTATTTTAAAAAATGCTAGGCAGGAGGTAAGACATAACCTGAGACTCCTGGTGTCAGGAAAATACATGTTATGAAAACTATCCCAACTCAAGCTGCCTGGAAACTTCATGTCTACTGTGACCCTTTGAGATGGATTCTGGTTGAAGATGACTTTAGTATTAGGACATACTTGAGACTAGGGGCTGGGCTCTCCAGGAAGGTGTTATGCCATGAGTTGGTTGCACTGTGTGGAAGAGAGTGTCCAGCACCCAACAGACATCGGGCCCAGGAGATAGGAGGCCCTTGTTCCACAACTCATTGGCCATTTGGTTTGCAGTAAGGTCCCTTGGGACTAGGCTACCTAATCTGCAAATGGGGTAGAGGACAGAGTGACTTGTTTAAGAGGTCTCTAAGGTCTGTTCAAGCTCTAAAATACAGTGTTCCTGCTCACAGGCCCCAGTGTGTCATTTTCCTGCCCCATTGCTAGCATGAAACTCACAGACACTTGGAGGACGAGATAGTCCAGCTACTTGGGACCATAAAAATGACCATTCAGAGACAGAGGTATGGGACACTAAGTCCAGTGTCCTGCCTGACAGTGTCCCCAGGGGAGGGTCTCTCTATGGGTTGTTAATGTTTCCTTTCTTGCCAGCCTTCATAGAGTTTCTCCAACAACAACAACAACAACAACAAAAAGGTTCTAGTAAATTTCAGAACTGCGTTTCAGAAAGAGATGTTGCCGAATTTGCAGTAAACACAAACTTTTTTATAGCTATGTCACTGGATTAAAGACCAGAGAAGCCCCGGGGCCTAGAAAAGCCCCGGTTTGGCTCAGTGGATAGAGCATTGGCCTGCAAGCTGAACTGGTCCAGGTTCAATTCCGGTCAAGGGCACAATGCCCGGGTTGTGGGCTCAATTCCCAGTAGGGGGCGTGCAGGAGGTAGCTGATCAATGATTCTCTCATCATTGTTTCTCTCTCTCTCTACCTCTCCCTTCCTCTCTGAAATAAATAAAATATTTTTCAAAAATGATATGAATAGATATTTCTCCAAAGAAGACATACCAACCACCACCCAGCATGTGAGCAGATTGCTCAACACCATTAGTCATGACAGAAATGGTGAA